AAAACACAATTTTTTTTTAAAAAAAGAACTCTCAGGTAGATGATGTTTTTGAATGATGATGCTGTTTTCAGATAGTGAATTGAGTTTAAGACACACACATGACACAACCACGAGGAAAACAAAACACTGATTTAAAAGGCTTTTCCTTTACATTCAGATGGATGGTTAGGAATTCTTCCCATTTTGAGGTCTGAATTCCAGGTCTGTTATGTCATGGGCTCACTACTCTATGAGAATGACCTCAGCAGTGGATAAAAAGATGCACACAAATGGGATCCCAAACTACCAAACAGCTGTTCTGTGGAGAAGCCAGGAGCTCAGGGCTTGATATGTCCTTCTGAGCTCATCCCCTGCTGTTCAAGGTTTAGGAGTCCCTGAAGGCTTCTTTAGCACTTGAATATTTCTTTGTTGGTTCAAAGTGCTGGGACTGTTCCTCCACACATGATCTTTGTCATGAATCACTTTTGTAATGAGGGAGCAGTTAGTACACATTGCCATGTCTTCCCCTTCTCCAAATCTTCCTTGGTGATGCTCAGGGGTAGAAATACATCACCAAGTCCTCATCATATTGGAAGTCCTTGATGTTCACCTTGTCCTGAAATACCACCAGTGTCAATGAGGTCCCTGCTGTCCTTGGTCTTTGGTATGTCTAATTCCATAGGCAAAGGACGGGCCAGGGCATGGTCACCTGCCCAAGGGCAGGAGCCTACATGGTTTTCCTAAGGTGTGATACATACAGAATTATAAAGATGGATTTAATTTCTATTTGTTCTAAATGAAAATCATGCATGCTAATTATGTTATACTATACTTTCCAGGGGGAGTAGCAGTTTGGTTGTTGCAGTTTCAGGATTCTTTGAATTAAAATTAGTTTCATAGCTTCTTGTCCAGACTAAATCTTTTGTATGTTTAAGATATATTTTATTGATTCAAGAATTTCATACAATGAACTTTGTTTATATTTAGACCTTCTCCTCCATCTCCAACCTTACCCACCACCCCCCACATACTCCCGACATTGTGTCTTCTATTTCCAAATGAAAAACCCCATCCATCTTACATAACACATCTGAGCTGGGTGTCAGAGAAATCATATCTCATTAGAGTCAGTGATCTATAATTCTTACACTCAGGTGTGCCAAAGGGCCCATTCCCTTTCCTGTGAACATGATTTTGGGTCAGGATACGCCCACATTTTTTGGAATGGGATTTCCACCTTAATTTCTGTTTCTTTTGTACACTGCTTAGAAATGCCATGTAGGGATTTCTCTTTTTCTCATCGATCAGACACTTGATTTTCTTCATCAAAGTTAGTTGTTCACAGCCCTTGCATGCAGGCTACGCTTTGGATGTTTCTGATCTTTTATTTATATATATTTTTTATGTGTTATGAGTGTTTTATCTGCATGTAAATGAGCCACATGCGTGCAATGCCCACGGAGGTCAAAAGAGGGCGTCCAGTCCCCTGAAACTGGAGTTAAGGACAGTTGCTAGCTGCCAGGTGGATGGCTGGGAACTGAACCCGGGTCTTCTACAAGAACATTCAGTGCGTTTCCATGTCGTGCAATGCCTGTGGAGGTCAGAAAAGGGCATTGGAGTCCCCTGGAACTGGAGTTACCATTGTTAGCCACCACGTGGATGGTAGGAATTGAATCCATATCTCTTGAAAGAGCAGCCAGTGCTGTTAACTACTGAGCCAATTCTCCAGATGTACAATTTTTAGGAACTTGGAGTTAAGTGCTGTCTGTGAAAGCTGAGAGATAAAAGTTGAAAAGTAATTAAATTTCAAGCTTGGGAATGCCCCAGAGGCAAACACAGTCATTAGCATGCCCCTTCCCAAATGGAGGCTGAGGTGCAGCAAAAGTTGGGGTTCCTCTGGGACCCATGTTTCCCCCACATTCATTGTTTTACTGAAGCATCTGTGCCTTAGTTCAAATATTTACAATGAAGAGGCTTTGTTACGCCACACATTCGTGTATTTTCCAATTTCTTTGTTTCAAATAGATCCATTGCATTCTACTGAGTACATAAGATCTGGAAGGTACGAAAAGGGGAGAGACTTTCAGTAAGAATTTTTTTCTGGAGCTTAGAAATCGTTCTGCCTGAGCCTTTCAGAATGTTTGTGGTGCAGTCTACAGAATGCATCTCAAACGTTATCAGCTGAGCTGTACACAGAAGCCCCATGTGATTCCTGCTATTCTCAGCTTTGTCCGTGAGCTAAAATTAGAACCAGGCTGACATTACATTTCACTCCATTATAGCCTGACAGAGGATTTTAGTCATTTGGATCCACACTGGAGAAAACTCACCCTGTGATCCATTCCTAACTGAAAATCACTAGCTTTGGAACATGTCTGCTGCAACCTCTGCTAACAGAGGTAAGTGCTTCTCCAAAATATGTTTTTCTCCATTCCTTACACACAGATTGCCGATGATGACTTGGCTTTGTGTGCAAGTGCCTAGATGTGCAATCAAACTTGGAATTTACGAGTCTTTTAGGGGTTGGTAGTCACTCATGTAATGCATCCTCTGGTAGACAAGAGAGAGGCTTCGCTACAAGCAAGAATCATTACTTTAAGGTTGTGTTTCTTTTGACTTTCAAAGCTGACCCCCCATGTTATTGCCAAGTTTACCTACCTGCCATACTATGTGCTCTACCATTACAAGATAGAGACCAGGACCTGGTGTTAGAGGCAGATATGCATGTATCATTATGAGGAAAATCTGTCATTATAGGAAAACCAGTATCAGACATGACCAATATTTAATGACAAACAATGAAATGAGTTATCAAATGACTGAGAGGTTATGTATCTATCTATAATCTATGTATCTATATATCTATATCTCTGT